CAAATTGCTTTTCACAGAGGGCCAGTAAAAAAAAAAATAGAAAGCACAAGCAGATTTTGGAAAGTCACATCTTTTTAAAATGATTTGTTTTAGTTAGTGCTAACTTGATGTGTTGTGCATTGCTGTGTCAGTTGTGCTATGTTCTGACAGTTCATGAGGTATATTTATGGTCGTCATTGTATATTCCAAAGTCAAAGGCTGTTGAAAAAATATAATGGAAACAGTTAACATTGTTTTTATTTTGCAGTTAGATATGGAAGTGAAAATAATACTTTTTACTTTTCCACCTTAACTTATTTGTTGACTTGTTCTTTTATCACAAGTCATGAGTATTGACACTTCTCAGAATAATGCTTCCCACCTGGGTTTTTATTGTGGTCTTACTCATCTTAGTGCAAAGTTGTGCTAATTCATATACACCTTAATAATAATTACACACTCTGATATTTCATGGTTTGGTAATGGGAAAAAGTTTTTTCCTACGTCAGAAAAGTTCTTGAATCTTGCCAAATCTCTAAATTGCTCTGGTATAGAAGAGAACAAAAGTTATACCTTCCATACCATCATGACATACAGCCTTATTAACTAGACTTCACACTAAGAATAAATGAGTAGAGCCAGTAAGTTTACCCCCAGAGCTTAGAAGTAATGGAGAATTGGTTTCTATTGAGGAGCTAGAGATCACATGGAATAGACAACAGCTGTTACTGTTAAATAATTCTTTTTTTTCAGTCACTTTATTGCAAATGAGAGGGTTTATTTAAAAAAAAAATACTTTTTGATGATGTTGAGAGGAGATTGAATAGCACTGTTTTGCTTCAGCACATTCAGACAAGAGAGTACCAAGTCTGCAGAAAGATATTGTACTTATTTCAGAAAATTGCACCCTCTTGCTAAATTCAATGAGTTCACCATACTGGAGACTATATAAAAAGTCTGTAAGTTTACCATACTGAAGTTGCTGGTGCACACAGGGTACTGAGTGCAAACCATTTCACTTGAAAAATTTATGACTTTTCAAAATGTGTAAATCTACTAGACTGAACTATAGGTTCAGATTATGACTTCAGCTCGAGATTATGACATACAACAAAGGCCAAAAGGAGAAAGGCAGTTAAATTCCTTGTGGATCAAATAATAGCATGGAAATATGAACAACTGAGTAATGTCTCAGATCTTCAGAAGTCACCAAAAGAAAATTCAAAAGGGAAAGCAAGATGGGTTTTGCTGAGTTTGAAAAATTATAAATTTCTGAAGAAAGGTCAAAGGAGGGATTCCACAGTAGGGTGAGAAAGTGTTAAGAAAGTCTTGGCTGTCTCATGTTTATCTACTGTACTTAATTAGGAAATGTTGTGTCTGGTATTCCTTAAACTATGATTATGTATAATTTGTGGAAACAGCTGCTATTGGAAGCAAGTCTGCTTCTCCAGTGCTTCTCCAGTAGTGTGATGTAAGCAGGATAATGCTTATTTAATGTTCTCTAAACATGATTTTAACAGTAGCACATTGATATAATTCTGAGTAGGCTTTAATCCAGGCACCGAAATGCTTGATAGGCAAAAATTCAGAGTCAAAGTCATCTGTAATACAGAATACTACTCTCATATAATTGAGCTCTTGGCCTCAAGATGGTTTTTTTTCTTCCTCAGAATTATTCTGTATCATTTGGATTTGATCAGCCTTCTTTTTTTTTATTTTTTTCTGACAAAATAGTTATTGCCAAAACTTTTGGATGCTCCTGTGAATTATCAGTGCACAGTACCACGTAAGACCTTCACACTAGGTCAATAATAACAACCTCATGTCATTGCAAAATTTATCCTGATTCCGTGTGAGACAGTTCTTTCTTTTCAGTGACAGTATATGAAGCTGACAAAAAAAAAAACAAAACACACAAAACAACAAAAAACCCAAACAAACAACCAAACAATAAAAACCCAAACCCCCCTCAGGCTATTCCTAGTATCCTAGAAGAGGTACTAAGTGTTTCTCAACATTTCTCAAGCAGAAAATCTGATAGTAGTAACAATGCTCATAACTAGGTAAGAAATCACATGAGACAGTCAGGTGATTCCTTTGGTTTCCTGTCGAGAAACAGCACTGCTCTGTCTGGCTTGTCATGTTCCATGTAACAGACTTTATTCCATGTTGTCCCACATGTGAATACGGTCATTTTTTTTTTTTTTTTTTGTAGAAATACATTTATATTCAGAGGAAAACAAATCGTATCTGGGTAAACAGGATGAAAAAAAGTATCCAGATGCAATTAAAGGAGGCATAACAATTACAAGTACTTTAAATGCTTGTAGGTCAGATCACAATAATAATTCTAAATTGCTTTAGATTCTCTTTTAAATTTTATTCTGCCTTTTTTTCTTCTCATTCCAACAGCAATGTAGTAACTGGAGCTAGAAAACGGTGTTCATTCCCAGAAAAATTTTGAGCCAAGTCTGTTACTTTTTCTGGCCACCTATCCTTGCCAAATGTGGTTCATGTTTTCACTATGAAATGTTAACAGTCTTGAAGAGCGGGACACCAGCTGCTGAAGCTTCCAGATCCCCAAAGAGGAACTTTAGGCATATTACAGTGAACTATAAAGACAATTGCAATATTTATCAAGTGAAGAACCATTCTTTGTAGCTGAGATTAGATTTAACACATTGCAAACTACTATCTATGCTAGCTTCCTGTGCTATTTTCCAAAGCAGAAACACTCAGAATTCAATAGCATAATTTTCGTTTCTTGATGAGTCCTAGATTAATTCCATCAAAACTATTTAAGACTCAAATATACAATGAAGTTACAGCAAATTAACAAGTTACTCTGAATCAGCTAGGGGTAGTACTTATTTTTTTATTTTGAGCTTTTTGCAACTGTCCTCATATAAAACACTTTACTGAGTTGTGATAAATCTGATCATGTTACATCACTGTGGGGTAAAAACATACACATGAAAAGTCATCATAGAATACATCTGATACAAGGTAAAGGGGTAAGCTACCTTAACCTGATCACTTATCTGAGCCTATTTTTGGAGCAAGGGAAAATATAAGCTCTGCTCCCTCCCTTCTTTTGTTCTCGTGTGCACAGTTTGCAGATGTGCATTTATTTGTTATTTCGTAGCTGGGAACAAAATTCTTTTATGTTCTAAGGAACTTGGTGCTATTTCAGCAGTCCTACATTATTTTCAGAAGGAATTAATGGGCCAAAGGAAAAATAGAATCCTCTCAGAAATCCAGCTGTGGGAGCATGGGAGAGTTCAGATGGGAGCAGTACATCCCATCTGAAAGATCTGAAAGATGTAAATGAGGCTATATTTGCTTCAAGTGCCCCAATACATGCAAATAAAGCTATTTCATGTTGGTGCTCAAATACTGTGATCGATTATGTGAAAGACTTGCTTAACGTACCAAAAACAATTCTTCCATGAATTAGCTTTTCCAGACACAAAGTAATGGAGCTACCTGTGCAAGAAAGAAAAGTTACATTTAGCAGCTTCCTTTTGGTTATTAATTCTTACATATCATTATTTGGGAACAAAAATTATCATGCTATGTGAATTATAATGGTCTGGTTCTGTTGTGTCTTACAAAATGGCAAATGTGCTATGAGGATCAAATTGTCCAGAAACCCAAAGAAAACATGAAGAAAAAGCAAGAAGTAAACTTGGTTATTTATACTACATAATATTATGTTGCAACAATTTTAGTGATCTTTGATTTAGTTTAATCTTCGGTACAGTAGAGATAAACTGCCATTTCTTAATTTCTTCCCTTAGTCTGTTCTTCCCAAATGATTAGATTTTTAGGCTGTTAGGAGTTATCATGAGGAATCCTTTTCCTATCTATCTCAGCTGTTCCCACCAGGTTCTATATAGTAAAAAGAAATTGAAGAAAGGAAAGTATGGGAACAGAATTAAGATCTTTGAATCTATTGACAAGACGACTTTTGTGCCATCAAATTATCTTCATCCTGCCAGCTGCGGTCTTCACTATCATAAGCAGAATATGTCTGTAGCAGATGGAATATAAAATGTATTTGGGAAGCCAAATTCCTCTATGCAGTGTGACACGCACCTTATTGTAGAGACAAAAAAGAGACTCAATAAGTCTGATTTGCCATGTAGCCAGTTGGTTTAAAATTAGGGAGCTTCCTGTGGGACCTGACATCACCACTTCCCTCTTCCCACTAGTACATTAACACAGCAGTAGAGACTTGGGCCATATTTTTTACAGCAAATGGATAAGATATAAGGGCTAGAAGCTGACACAGACTTCCATGTAAGATTCATAGTTGTTCACTTTTACAATAGTAAAGGTGTTTAACCTCAACATATTGCCTTGTTCTGTCTGTATTGACAGAAAATGTCTGTCTGTCTTTGAGCTCAAAGAAAGACATGATCAGTTGACCATCAACATAGAAGAGCCTGTAACAGCATTTCAGCTCTAAAATACAGCCTAGACTTTCATAAGCACTTCTACTAGCTTAGTTATATGCAGATGTTTTCTATCTGAAAGCTCTTCAGAGAATATGTGTTGTAGGCACTAGCTACTCAGTTTCACTAACTTGGAGAGATATTTCCCTTGTTAGGTTTTAGTCCTTTCAAGGAGCATCAATCCTCCTTCCACATGGACAACCCACCACTAGCTGGAAAGTTGTCTTCAACCAGTAGGAGAGAGAAAGAAATCCAAGCTCTGAATTAAAAACCATCTATACAGAAATAAGACAAAATAATACCAGACAAATAGTATGTTGAAAATCTCTTAGGGGTATGCTAAAACTACTCATCATTTTTCTGCTGTATTGACTTTTGCTTCCTGAAGTCACAAACAAAATAACTATCAAGCCTGAGACCAAACTTACTGCATACATACGTTTAAACTTTATTCCACGAGCATGGGCCATGTTATTTGGAAATATAGTTGGAAACTGTCTGGGTTCAAATGTTAATTATGTTGGTTTTTTTTTTTTTCTCCTCTCTTGATTCTAAAAATCCTGAACTTTATTTTGTTGTTGTTTGTTTTTGATTTTTTGATTTATAGCCTCCTCTACCAAGACAACCTATGTCAGTTACAGCAATCAGGCAAACTGAACAGGGATGAAATTCACTGGAAGACCTACAGGATGGGATCTTGCAAACATAGACTTTACCACCACCAGAATTCAGTCCTGAAAATACCAATAAACTACATTCAAATCAATAGTCAGTCTCCTAATGGACAAGGATTAAACAAGAGGCAAAAAGAGACAGGGGAAGGAAAAGTCCAGTTTTATAACGTAGAGACAAAATGTCAAGCTTCTGAACTGTTCACTCACAAAAGGAAGCAAATCACAAAAGGAAAACAAATGTTAGCTTGTGAAAAAAAAAATGCTGTTGAAATAAATCATGTCTGATGTTATATTTGTAAGTACTTTTTTGTGATTGTGACAATTTCCTTTCCTGTCCTACATTGTTCAACTTGTAAAAGAAGCTGAGTTTGTTTCTTGTGGCGGCTGACTGAATTAAGTCCTGGGTTATGCTAAAATAAATGCAATGGTCAACGCATGCTAATTTTTATACAAAATAATTTATTTCTAATAATAAAGGAATGTTTTGCAAATGTTGAGACTTGTTTTGTTGCAGTTTTAAGGAGAAAAAAAAAAAAAAGCCCTTACACTGTTGTCTATTGTTTGTTTAGAATGTGCAGTATAGGTGGGTGTACAAATAAAATAATAATCATGGCATCAGAAGAATGCAGTGTAAACTCTAAGCATGTGTGTGTGTATGTGTACACGTGCACGCGTGCGTGTATGTACATGCATGCCTGCATGCAGGGGTGTGTGTGTACTCTGCAGTGTGTGAATTTATTTGTTCAAAGCTTTGTGAATATTTTCTAGTGGAAGGATTTTTTTCCCCCTCCTCATCCTCAAAGTAAGTGCATTTTATATGTTTGTAAAGTGAAGGAGTCCTGACACTAATTATTTTGTATGGTTGTATTATATTTTTGAACCTCCACTAATAATTTTGATCCTTTTTGTTTCTGGAACTTACAGTTTGTAAGACTTTATGACAGCTAGACTGGATTAAGCTGAAAGTCTATTCAGCCTAGTACCCTGTCTCTGACAGGGGAATGTAGCAGATGCTTATCTCAATAAAGGTGACTTTGAAATAACAGGAGAGAAATCACTGGAGAATTTGGAAAGCAGTAACCTAATGGATATATGTATGATTACCTTATTAACACTTAAAAATCAAAAAAATAGTTGTTCACCTACAATCTTCACATTTTCTAACTCTGATGTGAAATGATTGCGTATCTGTTAGAAATGATTATGCAAAGAGAAAGAGAATTTCATATACATATCTGTCACATCAACAAAACCCTCCAAAGAAGTTTTAAAATGACAGCTAGGGACTTTCCACTTTTTTACTATACCTGTGATATTCTGTAGGACTTTTTCACTCCATATACTACTTATGATGCGTCAAATCAATGGCTCTTCACAATCAGTTGGTTATTAAATGTTATTTCTCCTGAATTAGCCTGGGTGGCTCCCTGTGCTTTTTTCCTCAAAGGAGCTGTATTTTTATAAGATATCTTAAAGAAGCTGTGGAGGGTCCTAAATTAGATGAATGAAAATGGAAGTATCTGAAACTGAATCTTTCTGCTACACTGCCAACATTTGAACTCCAGCCAAGTCAGCAAGCTGCATGACAGTGCATTTCCATTTTCAAAATACTTGACAAAACATAGCTACTTTTTCAGCATTTGAATGCCTGAATTATTAAGCAATTATTTATTTGGTATAGTGTGGTAATGTGTGTTTGGTATGTATGATATATTGTATGAAAATTCCTTTTTCTACTATGCCACAAGCACATCAATCCCAAACCTATAAATTAGTACATTTACTTTTAAGCATATGAATAATGCAGTTAATGCAATGAGACCTCAAAAAAAAATCATTAAAAAAAATTAGTTCTGTTAGATAATATCTCATAAAATTGAAGGGGTTTTGTGAAAATGAATTTATTAGATTAACGTTTTACCAAGACATACTTGCATGTCGAGGATGGGTCTACTAAAAGCTAAAGAGAGAGAATCTGTTTTCAGATAAAAGATGTTTTGACACAGCTTCTTTTCAAGAAACCTTTGAAAAGCTTAGTTTTCAGTCCACAAGAAAAAAAGCTTAAAATATTTTGTCTGTAATTACAAAACATAATAACATAAGCATAACGATATGCATTTGAAAAAGCAGTACATAGGAATTGCCTTTATAACACATTCCATATGCACATAAACATATTTTATATACACATAAAGATTAGTATATGATATAGGAATATGTATCTCCCAATTTCACAGTAGTAAAAAGAAAATGTTGTTTGGAACAGATTTACTGAGACAGATATACAGGTTTTCTGGTCGAATAGTGGGGTAAAAATGCAATGCAAATAATTCTATGCATTTTCTATGTCATTCTGTCTGAAACATGAAGTATATTAAGCCTATGAGTCTCACTGGTATTAATGTAACTCATCAGATAAATCAGCACACAGTACAAATTACAGAATGGCCTGGGTGTTTTGAAAATAGAACAGCACTAGTCTGCAGGTTTCACTTCTATAGAGTGGTTATGTGCTGTTTATGCATTTGCATAGAATGGTACATATCTGCCTCCTGAAACTGTGATCAAAAGCACATTCTTCTCATATCCTTCTAGAGCTGTGGAAGAACGATATGTTTTATATCTGAAAGAAAATATGGCTTTGTTCTCTTCAGCTTAGGAGACTTTTTCCTGCACAGACAATTGCTTTGCTTCCACGTCTGTGATTTCAGGTGACTGGTGCAATAGAAGGTGCACCACCTCTACAAGTCCTAATTTCTAGGTTAGGTGACCTAAATTTCATGACCCCACCTGATCCCTACTTTGGGCATTATTGATTAAGAGACTGCTGTCTATCTAATCAAGACTGATGTACTGTTTTCAGCATCATCACTGAACACAAACAGTTTAGAGGAAGGAATTAAATATTTTTCAGTGGTTGATTCTAATTAGGTGAAGAATGGTCATTTTTTCAGCTTACTGGGACTTTTTTTCAAGTTTAGCTTTTCCAATAAAAAGCAACCTCCTAAAAATAAAAAGTTACTGTAAAGAATCAGAGAACTGTACAATACAGAGGAAGAAAAAAACTACAATAATTTTGCAACGTGATTATAAAAAAGGATAAACTTCAGAAAAATTGCTTCCACTGTTCTTTCCTTTCTATACTACAATGTCCATCTTTATGAGAAGATTGCGGAAATTCCATCAGCAACAAGAGAAAAGCCCACAGAGTTTCTTGTTGTCCTGCCTTTGAATACACATTGAGCTGCTGCATTTTCTTCTTTTTCTATGGAACAGCCATCACTTAATCTTTCCATACAGAGAACTCACTGCTGTTTTTCTTTTAAACACTCTGTTTCTACTTTGTTCTACTCCTTATCTTATAGCATTAGCATTCATGAAGCTACAGTAAAATTATTATCAACACTTGCATTGTGAATGATACTATCTAACACACATAAATGTTATGCCTTGCTTCACAAATGTGAGCAGTTCGTTACAGAAAAATTTAAGTGCATATAGATCAAAGCCTGGGTTGGTGCCCATAGCTTGCAGCCAGGTGACAAGGTAAGATCCTCTGTTAGGGGCACTGTCCCAGTGTATAAATATAGTGCATACTGGGTTTTGTACACTTTGGCAAGATTTACTCACTCCTATCAAACATACACTTCCACGAACCTGAAAGTTATACTGTATGCCAAAGATTTGATCCAAAGCCAAGTGAAGTTCCCAGGTGTCTTTTAGTATACTGTCAGAACCACCCAGAGGAACTGAATGACACCACATTATCTCTAGTCCAGACTGTAACCTGAATCTATCCAATGATTTATAAATCAGATGGGCAATACATAATGTCAAAATACATTACAAACTATTATTTATCCAGAAGAAACTACCATTGTTATGAATGAGGTCTCAGTGGCAAGATCAAAAGATGTATACTGAAAACACAGTGACTGAAGTATTATAGTAGTGAATGCCTGCAGAGTGTAGCTTATGCACGTTAGTGAGACAGTGTCTGAAAATGTGATTATCCAAGTTTTGTTAAAAAAAAGTTTGTCTAAAGTGTTTTCAGTCCACTCAGATTTCACAGTGGTTCTGTAGCTTTAAGTTTAATAACTAAACTTTTGTGTAAGCACAGTAACATATTTTTTCACATAAAATTATAAAAGTCTTTATTGTACAAAATTACTGTTTGGTATCAATCTTGGAGAAGCAGACTACAGCTTTAAAATTGCTATTACTAATCATTTATATGTGAGTACAATAAAGAAATTCCATCAGGACACAAAACTTTGTTTTACTGAAATCAGGAACAAGTCCTTAATATTGTTTTGGGACTGCAGGAAAGATATAATGAGATCTGAATGTCTGTATGTGTCAGGTCAATGAAGCAGAAATTAAACAGAAGTTATACACAATGATTTAACTATTTCATAGAAACAGTAATGGGACACTTTGTCAAAAAGCTCCTTTTCAAGAAATGCCCCTATAGCAATTTCCACAGTTGGGTTTTTAACTACTAGTACTCTCTCTCTTCCAATGAGTAGATAATTTCATTATTAATCAAGGAAATAAATAAAGGAAAGCTTTCCTAACAGATCCAGTTGGTAAATCTATTGTATTGGAATACAACTTTCTTTTTTATGTGTGTACTGAAAGGCAGAATGTGAAAGCAGAAGACATAGCATGATAAGTGAATAAAGAGGAATTGTCTCTCTTGCAGCAATACTCTTTTGTATTGCTTTGGTTTGAAAAAGTACATGAAGGATCCAGCATATCTCACCATCACATCAGCCAATAAATAAAATGATAGTTTTCACTGCAATTTCAAATAGTTTATGTGCCATGTGATATAATTAATAAACTAGATATGGATCCACATATTGTCACATTTTGAAGAGCTAAATTCATTGACAGAAGTAGCAAGCATTACTTTTCCAAGTTTCAGTGGTATCTAATCTAATGGCACCTTTAGCACTTGTGGTACTGCAATTATTTGCA